TGTTTAAACGAATCGAATTATCTACCATTCGTATTCGCACGAATAATAAAATTTGCTATTAATATCGATTCAAATTTTTCGAATAATTAGCTTTCCTAAATATTATAAAATAATTTATACGAAGATATATATATATATATTGATAGAATTTTTATAATTTTTTTTTTCCATTGTTAGTTTTAATTAGGAAAAATTATCATTAAATAATCTGATAATAATGATAAGAAGATCAAGTCATGAACTAAAATTAAACTTGCATAATATTAATTTAATTTATAATGCCAAGTCAATTTTTTATGGCAAATAATTTTTCTTATTGCCTCAATTTTATTTATAAGTTATAACTATTCAAATAATTCGATTAGGATATTAAAATAATATGATTCATATTATTGTATCGAATATTTGATTCGTTTTTGAAATATGCTTAATATATAGTATTATATTATAACTCTTGAACTTGATATATATTATTTATTAAATGGTTTTTAATTTAAAATAATGGAAATGGCCTAATTTAAGAAAGGCCAAAATTTAAACTAATTTAATCATCTGCAAATTATAATTATACAATGAAAATTAAAATTCCTTTATTCTTTATCAAATAACTATTTCCTTAAATTTTAAATATTTTAATATAAATTACAATTATAATTCTTTTTAAAAAAAATTGGTCAACAAATTTGAAAGGATGAAAACATAAGGTAAATTTATTTTATTTTTATAAGAAAAGGTTATCATAGATTTTTAATATAATTTTTAAATTGAATTAATAATAATTAATCAATATTAATAAATTATTATATTACACAATTTATACTTTTATTTTAATTATAATATCTTTTTTAATCAATTTATATTTACGTTTTGATTATGTGACACATTTGTCCAAAACAAAATTTAAAAGTATTGTTGAAATTCATCAATTTTTATTTCTTAAAAATTAACGATCGCGTGTCAATGATAATGATGGATATCATTTTTATTTATTGCTATAATTTATTTTATTGTAAATTAATAGAATGATGACAAAAGGTGATGAACAAAACATTTAAAATAAAATAATAATTGACATTACTTCTTTGTTTATAAGATATAGGTGTCAATTTATGAAAAATAAATTTGCCTATCTTCGTACAGGTAAAAAAAAAATTAAAACAGTCTAATTCTTTTTGTCAGAGAGGATATAATGTAAGCATTGACATCAGTCCAAAAAGGGATATATTTTAGCATAGTCGTGCCTAGGGGGGTGGCAGCCCCTGAGCACCGAATTAAGTTTTAAGGACCGATAAATTGAAAACTCTTTCTCTTCATATTATTTACACTAAACAAGTGATGATAATTAATATTTAAATCTTAATTTTCTCATCATAGATGCCAAATTTTAAAACGATAAATTTGTCTAAAGACGAGGTTCCTCTTTTAGGTTAGGTCCAGGTAAAAATTATGCGACTTCGATAATGCAATGATACTTATAGAAAAGATGTATGTATTTTGAATCGATTTAAAAAGAACGGTTTCTAGAATTTCTTATTCACTGCAAAGGAACTTGTTCTTGAGTTATTAAATAACTTTAGAATAAAAAAAAATGCTTTGCAGATTTGAATTAGATGGAAGAAAACTCGAAAGATATTTCTATGAATAAGAAGATGGGCTGTGTATAAGTGATCCAAATGAAAAATATATGCTCAATCAGGCCAAGATACCCACTTTCTGCAGCTTAAATATTTTAAGGACCCTTTTGGTCTCCTCTCTGATATATCTGCTTTGCTTGTTTATTCAATATAATAAATTAAATATATAATACGTATTGAGGAAGGTTTAATTTAAAAAGATGATATAAACAGTGTAGCTATTTATCCAAATGGGGTGAGGGTGGGTACAAAAAATAATCCCGTGAGCGTGCCCTATAAACCTTTATTTACTCGGTCTTCGACAGGGGTTCCACCCATTGAAAATTCTAATTTTAATTTTCTCTTGGTTATTTTTATTGTTGCTTTTTTGAAATATAATGTATTATATGATCTCCATTAAAGTTCACTGAACAATTGAAAGCTCTAATTCTAAAATTATATGCCAATTGCTTCGTTAGTGCCTATGAGAGATTTAACAATAAGGCTAACCTCACTAACAAAATAAGCATCATGTCAGAATGGTAAATATAAAAAACTAAATATCTAGATCTACTTTGCTATAATATTTAGTGCCTGAATAGTATATTTATTATATTAATTCCTTAATCAGCTTTCCTATACACAAAAAAACTGGGAACTATGACGCCACGCCTTAGGTTTAAAATTTTAGAGACATTAATTTTGAAACTTATACCAAATCATTGAATGATTAGTATATTTTATGGCTTTAATCTGTTTGGTAGATAATTTAGAAGAAGAGAAAATTATTGTTAAAATAAAAAAAAATTATAACCATGCCAGTAGGGAGAATAAATTTTTAAATATCTGGTTTGCAATAATATTTAGTAACTTACTATTTTCTTCTTTTCTATTCTTAATTCTTCAATCAATTTCACCTATCCCAATAAAGTAACCGAATCATAAACCAAATGAAACAATGAATTATCTTACTAATTTATCGATCAGTACATTTTCAATCAAAACAGTTATAAAGAAAATAAAAACCATAACATCACTTCTTAAGCTGACTCAAAAATGTAATCTTGATTGGCGACTTAAAAATCAATTACGTCCAAATATATTTAGGTTTTTTTTCTGCAATTCGAAATATTTCTGAATCTTATATTTTACTATTTTTTATAGATATTAATTGTTTTTTTTCGGTTTATATAACTAAATATAAAAGTAAAATAGTAAAAATCTCACTACATTTTAAAATCAAGTATTATTTATATATCAAACTTTTGGAAGGCTACTTCTAAATGCTCAGGCCAATATTTATATTGGCCTTAACCACCATAAGTTTAGTTAATTCATTCCGTTTGGTAAACAAAAGTAATAAATAAAAAAAGTAATTAGAAAAATGAGAAAATATCTAATAATCGGTACATCAAGATTCAAAGATAGAACGAAAAATACAGAAGCACTAAAGCAATCCTACCAAGAAATAATTAAATAATCGAAATATATATATATAAATACTATCATTATCATTATAAATAATTCGCTTTTTATCATATTATAAAATGAGTCCCGATATCTCTGGCTATAGTTTTAACCAATTTAGCAACGATAGCATAAAATTAGCTGAATAAACCTTTTGCATCTTTGAAAAATGTGATACCATGCTTAATATTACATATTACAGACATTTATTACAAATTATTGAAATTTTACCTCTAATATATTGCATAAAATTTACTTAATTTCTATTTTAAGCTGCTTATTCACGAACCCTATTTTAATATATACTCAAATTTCGTAATTTTATGATTTTTAAAAAAGCTTTAAATAGTGATGGGGGGGGGGGGGTTAAAAAGACATCAAATTTATTTTCGCCATGGGTTTTAGCACGGCCTTGACTATATATATTAAGGGATAGCGAGAATAATTGGTCATAATTTTTCGTGGTGGGTGAATAAAAAAAGTTTTAAAGACGTTTTTAATCAAATAAATATGCTTTTAACTGTCCCCATACCAGGTCTTGGCTGGCCATTTATCATTATTATAAACATAAGATATATTATATACATAGAATTCTCCAAACTAAAATTGAACTATTTTTTTTACCTGAACATGAACTAAAATCGAATATTTTCAATATTTCTTATATAAAAAGAAATATATAATAATCATTTAAATCCTAAACTAATAAAATTATACTTTTGATTATTATGACCAATTAACCCATGGCCACATATTGCCCTTCTGTTTGTTAACATTAATTGGTCCTTTATATAGTGATAAATAAAGCATTTGGATTTCCGATTGTTTTTCTGTAAATATAGCTTAAATTGTAATTATTCCATCAATATAAAATGTGCCAATTATTCGTAATGTTGTTAAACGGATAGATTTTTAAAACGGCAAGCCCAATATGTTAGCTAAAAAATATTACGTAACCTGGAGATGGTGCTAATAAGTGGCAAAAAGGATTGCACATCTATTAAAAAAAATTCAAGGCTCGCGTAATATAATTTTGGTTAAGGTCTTAATTTTAAAATTGGCTAAATAGAGCCGTTTAAAAAGATTTATTTTTAGCTAGATAAAACAAAATGTAGAACGTGATTTTGATTCAACAGGGTGCTTAAAAACCCTTTTTTTGAAATTTGAACAATCAATCGAAAATGGCAGGGTGCATGTTGTAACAAAATTATGCATCGCTATTAAAATTTTCAGACAAAGTAATCCAGTAGATAAGAAGTTTGAAAGGGGAGTAAGGGGGGGGGGGGTGCCAATAAACCCACATGATTCACTTAATTTTCTTCTAATTCAGCGGAGTAAAGGGACTAAATCTTAAATAATTTTCTATGAGTTAGGAGACCAATATTTTTTAAATTTAATGTATTCTAAGGATGAGGCTAACCATTGATATTTAGCTGGCGTCTATAAATTTAAATAAATTTTTATCCCAAAACAACAAAACAGCTGACACTATAAACCCGATGCACTAATAGCCTTACTATATATAAAAAACCACAAGAATCAAACCAGAGACTAGCTCCGATCATATTATAAGGGGTTCGGTGCCAGAATATGTTTATTTTAATTTAATAAATTCTATTTTTAAGAAATAAAAGTTTTAAACTTATGTATGTCGTCTTATATTAAACTTAGGTAAGCTAAACGCGCTTTTACTTTGCCACATCGTCACCAATTAAAAACTTTTTTTAGAGATTCCACTTTCTAAATTATATTATAATACTCAATTTTAAAATTGTAATTATTATAAATTTTATTTTAGTAGTATATAGATATATTAAGTAAAATGATAATAATAAAACTTTTGAATGTGGATTTATTATAATTATTTAGTATTTTTAAGAAACTTAATTTATAAAATTGTTTGTCGAGTGTTTTTATTACTTGAAAAAATCGGATCTACAGAATAATTTTCCTTCTTTGAAGAAACATTTCTCGGATAAAATTATTTGGCATTCAGTACATTGTAGGCAATTACCATGCCAAGGACGATCGAGAACGTTGAAAAGATATTTGTCCAAAATCGGATTTTGACACCCCGCGCATTGCACCATATTCAATTAGCGGGTTTATATATTATGTATTACTGATTTATTTTTTATTTAATGATTGATTCATAAATAATTAAGATTGTGAATGCATTTTTTTTGTTAAAAAAAATACTTTATTATATATTCATTATTTAGTAATTTTCGTTTTTTCTTCCAATTCTTATTGAATTATATTTAATAATTTGTTAGGATCAAATTCTCCTAAGGAATGATTTGCTTTAAACATCTATAAATAATATTCCGTTGGTTGATGTTAAAAATTAATATTTTGAAATATTTGTATATCATTTTTATTTTGGTTAAAAAAAAAATATCGATATTTTATATTATTTATATATTCCGCGTGTTGTTATCATTTTTTTATAAATGTCAGTCATTTCATTTTACCACCAATATAAAAATATCGTCTGCCTGCCACATCCGATTTTATTTGTCATTTCATTTCATTTTATATACGATATATGATATGATATATCAAAAGTCAAAAGATGTAAAACAATTTTGAAGAATTTTGCATTTTATTATATTATAAATGATTGTTATGATGCGACAGAAAGAATGAGACTTCTTGGCTATTTTGTAAGTTATTTGTCATTTGCATTATTTATTTTTTTTTAAAAAAAAGTTTTTAATTTATTTATTAATACTTATTTTAAAAATTATACTATCCAAAAATAATACAATTTATTTTCTAAAATTTTTCATTTTATCATTTATTTTTTTTATACAATAAAAACTGTTTTCTTTTTCCTTATAAATTAAAAATATAAATAATTATTTGTTTAAAAATTTATTTATATTTTTTTGAAAAAAAATTGAAATATATCTTAAAAATTTGGTAGTTTTTATCCTTTCTTTGTTTTTTTCAAAAAGTTTTTAATTTTTTTGCTTAAAAAAAATGTTTATAAGATCAAAAGATATAAAAAACTTTCAAAAAAAACAATATGGTATCTAACTGATTTTTTAACAATATCTATCTATCTATCGATATATTTTATATATTTTAAATATAATATATATTATAAATATAGTAAACCATGCAACCAGTGGTTTGGTAATATTTATTTTAATGAAAAAACTGGTTAAATAAATTAAAATAGATATTTCGAAGCTTTAAATAAAACCCATGTAATAAATTATTATTTCTATTATTTAAAAATAATTTTTATTTTCTTTTTAAATTTGAACATCTAATATGACCACTTAAGGATTGTTCCGTGTTGCAGTAACAAACAATATAGAGGTGGTCAATGTACGTAACATTGGGATATTCATTTTAAAAAAAATTTATTGTTTTAATAAGACTGAGGAAATCTAACTAAAAGGGGTCAGTCAAGTTAAAAGAAATAGTTACCTTGAAGAGGTGATCATCTTTAGAAGGTTTTCTTTCAACTGTAAAATTATAATGGTTAATATATAATAAAATAAAAGGTTAAAAACATAATTTTTTTTTTATTTTTTTAAAAAAATGTGCTAAATCTATTATAATTGTTTAAAATGTAAAAAATAAAATGGAAATGCATTACACGTGCAATTTTAATATATTTTCTTTAGAAAATAAAAAGAATAAAATACAAATAAAACGAATAAAACAAAAGATTTTTTTTTTATTACAAATTTAAATAAATATAAAATTGAAATTTTATTTGTGACATATATATTATATTTAAAATAAAAATTTTAAGTTCAAATCTAAGTCAATTATAATCTTTCATGACCATCTCCTCGTCTCTTGTAAAAAAAAATTTAGAAGTAAATACACCTAGGAAAAAAATATTGTTTTCATTTGCTTTTACTTTGAAGGAATAAGAAAAATTTTTTTATTGTGAACTAGACCTATAAGAATCGAAAATTTTCTTTCTTTCTTGATATTTTGCAAGATATCAGGATAATTAAATAAAAATTTTAAAATACAAATCTAATATTATTTTTTAAATTTGTTCTGTATTATTCTATATATAATAATTATAATGAATACTACATAAAATAAATTCAAAAAAAACTGATGTTCCTGTTATGTTAACAAAATTATAAATTATTATATTCTGGACTCCAGACCCTGATCCTGGTTCAGGGATTTTTCACTGAACTCAAACAGAACCTTTTTTTAGAACGAGGTTTCACAGCCCTGGTTTTAATATTTAAAAGTATAGGAATAAGTGCTTAACTTACTCAAATAAATGATGGAAAATTGGACACTATGTCTGAAGAAACGAACGCTGTTAAATTCTAGGAAGAGAAAGTTTTGACTAAAATATACAAAAAAAATTAATAACCGAGAGCGAAATACGGAATGAGTGCAAAAACTTTTGGGGGTTTCTATTACGAATATAATGTTCTATTTATTTTACTTATGCTATTATTATATATTGTTAGGGTCCTCTAGCTCGTATTCTAATTTAATCAGAAATATCTATATAAGTCTCATATTATAACATACTCATGATTAATTCTTATTTGTATGTATATTGATAATAAATGCTAAATATTTAATATATAACTAGGGGTGTACCGATACCACTTTTAGGAGGCCGATCCGATACGATATTCCCGATATTAAATTGATATCGGTCGATTACCGATCCGATATCATATATAATTTTGTATTCTGCAAAGATACCAATGGTTTTAATTTTTACTATAATTTTTATTAGTATAACATCTATAATTTTACTATACCAAAACATATGTCATTTAAATATATTATAATCATCAGTTATACTTTATATTCAATTCAATTGCAATTCTAAAAGTATAAAATATTTTTATTGATAAATCACTTAATATATAATAAGTAATAACATTAATCTATTTACATAATAACATAAGTAATAAACAAATATAATATGAAATTTGAAATAAATATTTAAAATTAATATATTGAAGATATATTTTTAGAAATACCAAAATTTCCAATTTATCAGAGGCCAGTCTGCGGTGATGTGGACTGTCAATATCACTAGTTTCACTAAAAACAGATTCTGAAGAGATTATTGCTATAAACAGAATGTAAAAAAAATAACAATATGGCAGAATGTTTATTAACTAATTATTACTTAAAAAAATTAAACATAAAACTGGATTTTAAATTTATATATAAAATAAAATGGTTTTTTAGATATAACTTTTTTAAAAAATTTTATAATATTTTATTTTTGTTAAAAACGCCATTTTCTATTAGATCGATTGGTGAAATATCTGCCCATATAAAATATCGGTACATCCCTACATATAACCATTACAGTGTCACTAGGGGAGGGCACAGGGGTTCGAGCCCCTTGATTTTTTTTTAAAGAATATACCTTTAAAATAAAAATGTCATTATGAAAATATTTGATGAACAAATAAGCCGTTTGAAAATATTTCAGGCAATTTTCAAAAAAAAATGATTGATAGCCCACTGAGATTGTAAAGGCTAATGAGACCACTGTATTAATCTTTGACTGTACCCAGGCCTTAACCGCGATATAGCATTTATAAAATGGAAATTTATAAAAATATCAGATATCAAAATTATTGTATATAATGTATATTTGAAATAAGAACTTTTATATTTGTGATAAATAAACAAATATAAAACTATTTAAATCTTTTTTTTTTAAAGTTAAAATATACTTTGGATAGCAATTTCAGCAATTTTCAGAAATAAAAATATGAACTACCTGGATGCTAATTATACCAAAAAAAAATATATGTGTTTAAAAATCTATTATATTTGTAGGGGAAACCTGGGATATTGTGTTACCGGGGCAAGTAATTCCTTCTCAAATAATTTAAAAACTAATAAACTTGAGATTTAAAATTTAAGTCGAATATGTATTTTAATAAGGTGCTTAAATAGGTCTAAAAATGTTTTAGACAAAATTGCTAATAAAAATTTTAAATGCAAATTTAAATTTTAGCACCAAAAGTAACTTTTTAAATTTTACATTTTCACTAATAACTGAGTTAATATCAATTCTAAATAATAAAAAATCTCCATTTTGTCATATATAAAATTATTGACAATATTTATGGTAATTTAATATCTTCAACTTAAATTTTAATTAATTGTGAAGACCTAGGGCAGGTTTTGGCGGTAAACTGATTAGCCATTTTTAAGTGGGGATTATTTTGAATAAAAAAAATCCAACTTAATTTATAGAAACATTAAAAGACACTAGTTTGTCTAGGGCCACGAATGACAATGAGATGATGATTTGATTTTTTTTTTGTAAATTAAGTTCTTCCAGTTGATATATATAATATAGATCGAATAAATTTAACAAATTTGACAATTTATCTTTATTTACTTACTTAGAATTAACATTTTTATATAAAATATATAAATAATAAAACTCCAAGACACGCAAAGCGAAAGGATAATAGGTACCCCGGGTGATTTTTATAATTCTTATATTTCATTTTTTTAATTTTCATATTAATTAAAAACTAAAGGATTTTTTTCTTAAATATTTATTTCTACCGTAGAGATATATTTAAAAAATAAAACCATGTTTAAACATTTTGGGAAAATTGCTTCATCTATTTTTATAGCTTCGATTTTTTATGGACATTATAACCCCCGTTTCCCCTACCAATGGCGTTACATCAATGCCGTGGGCCCAACGTGTCAACTTCTTTATTTTTCTTCTTTTTCTAACTAAAAAAGAAATTTAAATCGATTGAGCCTAAAAAAATAAATAAATAAAAATGGTAACCTTTGGCCGCTAATCATCATCTTCGGCTTATTACATATGTTTGGGCAAACCCAATATAGGGGGCTTGTTATGGCTCAATTTTTGCTAACCTAATTGTTAGATCACTGATTCGCACCTTGAGATTAAGATGCTAAATTAAACCCTGAACGTGGAAAAAGAGTGGTGTTACCCTGTATTCCCAGTTAGTGTGAATTCACGGCGAATTATATTGCATTTCGCTGCGAATTCGGGCTAACTGTGCGTTTCAATTTTTCAAAATGGCTAGCCAAATATTTTAACCATAAAATATACACGCAAGACTGGAGATTTTGCTGATAGATGGCAGAAAGGTTTGGACATCTATAAACAAAATCTCGAGGCTTGCGTAATATTATTTTGCTGAAATCTTAATTTCAAATAGACAAAATCGAGCCGTTTAATTAATACTAGGAAGAACCATTTTACTAAACTCAATAGACTAATAGTATATAATATATTAAACAAATCCCGATACCTTAAGCTCCAACCCTAAGTCCGGCCAGGCAGAAATTTTAAAACCAAATATTAATAATCGCCTTTATTAACTATAAAAATTTAAAATAAATAAAAAATATTTTAAAAAAATCCGAACTGGGCCGAGCCGAAATAAAAAAATTTTTAGATCTAAGCTGAGCATTACAAATAGTACTTTACAGGTCTTTGAAACAAATATACAATATTTGAATAATTTAAATTAGTTATTCAATTCGAATATTTCTAATGTTCCACGAATCGAATCAGGAATAATAAACAAATATATATATTTACGTATTTCCATGTAATTAAATTACCTGATCTATCTTAATTGGTTATTTCTCTTAACAGCTATAAGTGTTTTAGTTTAGTCTGATTATCTATAATTTAGCACTACTAACATTTGATATTTATTTTATGGGGTAATTTATATATAGAGGGAGACCGGGGTTAGAATAACATTGTGGTTGTCGCTATTTTCATCTTCTTATCTATAATAAAAAATTCAAATGCCAAAGATATATAACTATTATGATTTTAGCCCTTTAAAAGTAACTTTTTTAAAAAAAGATTTCTAAAAAATTACAATAAAATATTCAATCATTTCAATAAACAAAAATATTAAAACTATCATAAAATAAAAACGCTTTAAGTCTATAGACGACTTTCATATGTCAAATATGAAATATATCTTATAACCAGGGTTGTGAACCCGAATTCGGATTCAAGAATTTTAAACTTTATTTAGCGGAAATTTTTATAACAGGGACGTAAGGGAATGAACCGGCCTCGGTTCCATATTACCCCGATTTGATAGGTAGCCCTATAATACGGCTCTGTTTGGTCTGTGGTCTCAAGATGCCTAACCAAACAATTTTAAATATCTGTAACCGAAACAACCCTGTTTAAAACTAAATCTATATATTTTATTCTCTTGTAATTAATGTTTATGCTATGCATTAAATTTATATTCAGCAAAAACTTTAATAATTTAATTATGTTAATCTATTTTACTCCACTTATTACTATGAAAATATAAATGAAAATATTTTCCATCTCCTAATTATTTAAATGTATTTTAAATATGTTTTTTAAGGTGTAAATTTTTATCTTCAAATTCAATATTAAAAGGTTACAATAAGATAAATTTTTGATTATAAATATTAATATAACATATCTATATAATAAAAAAATATATTTTAAAAGAAAAGAAAAAATATTTAAAAAGAAAGATAACTTTAAAAATAAATATGTAGATTAGGTGGGCAGGGCTTAATGACCCATGTATAGATTATACAGTTGGATCGGCGAATTTTAATCGATATTCTTTGTAGTAGGTAAAAGCCTTCTTGTGGATCACCTGTGTTATACACTTTAATCAGGCAAAAAAAGGTGGAAGAATAGGAAAGAATTAAAACATTACTATTTTTTAGGTTTAAGGGCGGGGTTTATATTTCATTTGTCTGGTCTGCGAGTCATCTAATACTCTGATCTATAACTATTTTTTAAGACCTACATTATATAGCACAATAAAAAGAATGAAAAAGTCAGAATTATTTTACTAAATTGCCCTCATTTAAAAAATAGTTATTTTTTAATTGAATTTTTCTGAAAAAATAGTAAATCGCTCAGAAATTAATGAATTGTTCAGTTTTATTATTTATACCCTTGTTAAGGACTGAGAACCCAAACCCTGAACCCATCCCCAAGTCCGAGAAAATCTATATAAAAACGGCTAACTCAATATTTTAGGAAGAAAAATATTGCATAAGCTTCAAGATTTCGCTAATAGATCTCCAAACCTTTGTGCCATCAATGAGCAAAATTTTCAGACTTGTGTAATATTTTCCTGGATAAAATATTGAGCCGTTTTAAATAATCAGTTCAAATCTAGCCATTTAACAACATTACTGAAAACATTCGTATTTAAATGTCATTCCTGAGTCAAAAGAAGAGCTCTATGAATTTAATATTTGACTTCAAGGCAAACCCATCATTCTATTATAAATATAAGTTCAGTCGAAGAATATACTACAAAATAAATATATTAATCTCTCTCTTGAATGCTTTTATAACTCAAATGAATGAAAGGTTCTTAATTAATTAGATAGAACATAGAAATCTTCATATATTATTACCGCATAACCTTCTGAATCTATATTAAACCTTGATGAAAAAAAATTATATTTCACAAATTTTTATTGTGACGATGTTAAAGTATTCCATGATGCATCAATAGCTGAATGCAAACACTTTATAAATAGGGTGATATTAATGTATCTGAAGGCCAATTTATTTCATTTAAATCTTGGTACGAAAGATTATAGTTTAAAATATATTTTGAAGTTGCTTCCAAATATATTAAAACTACTATATATTTTGGCAACATTACAAATAAGCACAAGCACAAATGAAGGAACCTTTTCGTCAGGGGAATGGGAGTACCACATCAGAAAATAGGTTAAATTGTTTATTCAGATTTAATCCCAAGCACATAACAAATTATTCAAAAATTGGATCAATCACAAAGAGGATTAAATTTTCACTTTTTTAAACAATATTATATCATTTTTTTCATAAATATTTTCCATATTATTTTATATGTCCGAAATTGTTATTTTTTAAAATAGGATTGGTTATAATAAATTTTATAATATGCCTTTAATAAAAAAATGTTTCTAAAAAATTTATTTCAATAATATAAAATTATCCCCCCTCCCCATAAAAATTACTAGCTACGTGCCTATAAATTTAATATTCTGAATGTCTAATTTACCACATTTTTATTTAGCCAACCATATTTACAAATCAAAAGATTTACTTTTTAAAATAAGCTCTCGTAACCAGTAATTTTTATTTAGAGGAACCAGCAACTACGATAACGTGGGGGGAGGGGGTATTAATTAGAGGGTGCATTAGTGGGCCAGAAGGGGCTAATATTTTTTTTGAAATTTATAATTGTATACAAATTCTTAAAATCAATAGAAGAAAAAATATTTCTTAACTGACTAGATCTGAGCGTTTCATTTACTCTTCTTAGTGATTCACTTAATCTGAGCGTTTCAGATATATATCTTAGCAATTAGTATTTTTTTTTCTGGTCTATTAAGTTTTTATTTGAGCATTCAGTATTCTTTCAGCATTAAGTATTTATTCTGGTTAAGATTTTTTTCTCATTTCAGTATAAATTCTGAGCGATTAAATAAGAGCCTTTTTTTAAATCCCTTCTTTACCCTTTCATGCACATAAAAAAAGCCCTTTACTTATTATGACGATTTATTTTAAATATGGAATATAATAATCAATTGTTTATTCTATATCAAAAAATCTTTTTAAAAGCTTACGTGAAAAAATAAAAAAAGTGATTTTATGGTAGGTTAGTTATCATACAAATAGGATACCCCAAAAAGTAGATTATATTTTGGCGTAACTGAAAAGGTAATACTATTACATATATGTTAAAAGGCTTTCATATTTTCATCGAAAAAATATTCCCGCTATCCTCCTATCCTTCCCTATTAATTATAATTTTTTATATCAAATTATGTGTTGAATCCTTAACTATTTATTTTCATTCCAGGCATTAATTATCTTTTTATGCTTATAAATGGCAATGTTTATTTTTTATCGAAACTCTCCTTTATCAATTTCTAAATGTTCTTGGAGGAATAAGCACATATTATGTGATATGTTATAGAGTAATCTAATAACCCTTATTCAATTAATTAACTCTTATTAGGGTAGTGAACCTTTGAAATTCCTTACTTCACTACCAACATTTTAAAAAGTATTCTCGTATCTGACACCAACTATGCTATTTACCAAGAAACGGTGATCCTATTATATCCCAGAGCATGTTAAATTTACAATCTAGATACTTCTACTCTTTCCAGAAAGTGAGAGAAAAGTCTCTTTCTTTTAGTATTTTTATTTGCTTAACTAAATTATTATTTTTTTTAACTGAATAAAAATAAAGGGTAATCAATTCTGCTTATTGGGTTTACATAGCTATCAAGAAGTCAAACAGACATGGATGTATACTAGTCTTGTGAATTTAATTTTTTTGGTCCGAGCTCAAAAATTTTTATTTTATTATGAAATCCAGCTCGAACCCAATATTTCAAGTTCAACCTAAAGTTTTTTAAAAATGTCAGACTGGATCCCGGATTTAAGCTGCTGGGCTCAATGAATACCTCATAAACCAGATGAAAGACCTTAACGTATCAAAGAAAGAAAAATATGAGATTAAGGTGAATTGATAACCTACACGTTATTTGGATGTCTTTTATTCTCCTATTATATTATATATCTACCTTATAAAAAACGCCTAATTCTTTTAAAGCTAGTATGGGAACATAAGCAAGGTGGAAGAAGAAATCCCATACCCACAAATAATAAAAATAAAGAATATTATACCTGTTAAACAGTGACACTCATGTATTTTATCTTAACTTTAAAAAATTGTTTTTTTTTACATCCTTAAGCTATTTATGGCGTAACTTAATATATTTCAAATGTAATAAGAATTGTTTCTTTCTTTTTGTTAAAAACAACTTTTATATTTTAAAAATCAATTTGTTTATAAACTAATATTAAATTTTATATTTTATAAATCAATTTACTTAATAAACTAATGTTTAATTTTTTATTTTAACTTTTAAAAAAAAGATCAATTTATTATAAACTACATTAAATTAAATTGTGAATATATATAGGAAACTATTTTGAATTATGTGATCATTATATTTTTTAAATTTAAATATCAATAAATTGACGTAATATACGTTTATAACATTTGATTTCTGCCTTTGATTTCTGAAACCTTTTCATGGTGGCAGCATCCTAAATTAAAATTTTCTAAAATATTAAATATAAATTAACTTCGTAAAATTTTTATAAAATCCAATACTATAAAATAGAAAAATTCAAGGATATTGTAAATTATAAATTATGAAACAGACCTCAAATAATAACGTTAATATTAATATTGAATTTCCAACATACACAGGTAATGGCGATGTTTTTCTAAGTCGTTTCGAAGACATATTCAACGATGCTCAGATCTCTGATATCGAAAAAGCAGGATCCTTCACAAGAAGACTACCAGACGAAGAATACATCAAGCTCAAATCTATGTTCACCTACCGATTTCATCAATCCATCGATATTGATTGAAAAATTTAGGTTATTACACCCGAGGAAATCTACAAGTTCGAAATTGTTATTATTCAATGCAGCTGTACAAGGTAAAAATGAAAGTTACATCAATTGGGTAAGTAGATTATGTATTTTACAAAATGAATGTTCGTTAAGCGATAGTAGAGTCATTGAAAAAGTAAAAATTTCATCAAATAGCAGAAGTATCAGGCAGAAAATTACGTTGAAAGAGAATATTACGTTAGCAGAAGTCTTTAGTTTAAGAGATGATTTTGAGGAGACTTAAAAGAAAATATAATAGCTAAAGTTGAAAACATTTCTTTAAGTGAAAAGACTGAAGAAGAAACAAGCGTAAAACATTTGGAAAGACAAAGAGGCATGAAAGTTGAAGAAAACAAACAGGTGGTCAGATGCGACGATAGACATAATCCACGATTGAATAACGATAACAGACAACTATGGACTACGAGAAACAACAACTTTCAAAGAAATAATTATCAGGGAAATAATTACAACCCTAGACATCAGAACTATAATGCGGGTAACTACAATAACGTTAGGGCAAATTACCCAGGATTATACAATAATTTTTCAAGATTTGAAAATAGAACCAGTTATAATAACGATAATAACCAAAGATTTTATTATGATTACAATCACGGATTCAACAGACGCTATGATACTTCAAGATGCACGCAAAGGCATAGTAATAATTATAATGGAAATCGAGGAGGAAGTTACGCATGTAATTGTAGACATCATGTCGACCATAATAATCAAACACGATACACTAATAAAATAAATACCATAAACATAGAAGAAATAAAAGAGGATGATAATAATAAAATAGAAAAAAAAGAATATAATTTGTATAACTTGGACATAAATAATATGGATGCTGATAAAGACAACACAGATAATAACGCGTATAAAGTAACTTTAAAATTGAATAACCTGTCAACGATCATGCAGGTCGATACTGGTTCTAGATTCTCAATAATACCTAGTTCGATAGCTAGAGCGCAGGCATCACTGAATTAAAGAAATCTAATTTAAAATTAACAGGCTATGACGGCTATTAAATCAAAATATTAGGAACGGCGCAAATTAGCGTAAATTATGAAGGAGTAACTAAAAATTTACAAGCGATCGTTGTTAATAGCAATAAGAGTCCATTACTTGGCAGTGGCTAAGTGCCTTCAAAAATATTTTAAAAAAATTTGTGGGAAATATAGGTGATGATTATTGTAATGATAAACTTACTAAACTCATACTTGATTACAAACTTAAAATGGCCGATAAACCCATCTGCAAAACCAATATCAAGCTTCGCTTAAAGCAAAATGCTGTACCAAAAATAATACCATGTTAAAAAAATAAATTCTTATAGATTAGAAGAAATAAATCATTTGATAACAATTGAAGAAATTATAGTTATTAAAAACAATAATGAAACAAAAATTGAAGAAAATAATAAAATAAAAAATTTTATAATTAATAAAAAATTTAAAAAAACTTTGGAAAAGAAAATTAAAACAAAGGTGATTAAATATCATGATGTTGAAAAGGAGATTAAGAATACGATATGGAGATCATATGTTGAAAATGGAAGGAGAAAGAGAAATTTTGTTATAAAGAACAAGTTAAAGAGAAATTATGATATAAAAAAAGTGTTCAAATTGAAAAATAAAGGAGTAAAATTTAAAAAATAAAAATAATTAAATAAAAAATTATAATATAAAATGAAACAATTCCAAAACGGAAATTTGTTGTATGATAGAGATACTGGGAACAAAATTATAAAAAGACACTTGGACCAAATAAAAAAAAGATCAACTGTAGAACTTTCTTCTAATGGTGCAACAGTTTTTAAAGCGAATGTTAATAATAATGCATCACCTTATACATTGAATTTTAGAAGGGGAGGTGATGAACCAAGAAACCAAAATGTACAAGTGAATGATCAGAATCGCAACGTTCAAAGACCAGTTTTTTTTTTCCTCTTCCTTATATTAAAACAAAATTAGTTTTTTTGTGTGTGGAACTAAATAGACAAAACGTACAACAAAAAAAGATCAACGAAGGGGTTAACGAGCAAGAATGACAAACGACAAAATTATAGACAGAGGGCAAATAAAAAATAAAAAAGTGTGAAATGTTAAACAGTGACACTCATGTATTTTATCTTAACTTTAAAAAATTGTTTTTTTTACATCCTTAAGCTATTTATGGCGTAACTTAATATATTTCAAATGTAATAAGAATTGTTTCTTTCTTTTTGTTAAAAACAACTTTTATATTTTAAAAATCAATTTGTTTATAAATTAATATTAAATTTTATATTTTATAAATCAATTTACTTAATAAACTAATGTTCAATTTTTTATTTTAACTTTTAAAAAAAAGATCAATTTATTATAAACTACATTAAATTAAATTGTGAATATATATAGGAAACTATTTTTAATTATGTGATCATTATATTTTTTAAATTTAAATATCAATAAATTGACTTAATATACGTTTATAACATTTGATTTCTGCAACCTTTTCAATACCATATTTATCTGCCCATATAAACGGTATAAAATAAAATTGAAAGAAAAAATTTTTTCTCAGTATTTTTAAATTGCAAACGATTGTGTTCTAAATGTAAAGCCTAACCCCCCCCCCCCCCCACTTCCACATTATCCTTAAATGTACACTTTTATCTTAAGAAATAATTTTTAGGGCTGAAATTTTAATTTTATATAATAGTGCAGTTTCGATGTTTCGCCTCCACACTAAAAAAAAAGAAAGTAAAATTAAATAAGCGAACAAATTTTTTTAAACTTACATATTAAAAAATAATTAGGGCTGCATGAAACTACCGTAAAATTTGAAAAAAATAATAAAACATTAAGGTGCCCATTAGTGTTCTAGGATGAACTAACTTTTAGATATTTACATGTAAATCTTTAATGATTTTTTTATTGAGTATTGGACGTACCCTTAATCTTCAAATATTTCAAAATGTGTTGGCGCGATCAAGTAGATTAAACTAAGTACAAACTTGATGACGTATTTTTTGTTTCACAAAATTGATACATTAAATTTAAGCTAGATCCGAATTTTTTAAAAAAATACTAAGCCAGATCCAATCCTAACCGAAATTATTTTTTAAAAATAAGTTCGGACCGGAATTTTCAAATCTCTAATTTAAATAGTTTATGAGTAAAAAAAAGCAATCAATAATTTTACATGTAATCTTTTAAAAACGGTAATATATTTTTAAAGGATAAGGGGGGGGGGGGGGGGGTGAAAACAAAAAATCAAATTTAGACATAGTTATAAGAAATACCTATGAGCAAATACACATTCGGGTTTTAACATCAATGATTAAATAAATTTATTTTGAATAGATTACATAATCTTATAATATAACTAGTTTTAAAATAAATTATTATGTTACAATTTTTAACTTTCTTATGGACATATATTATATATTATATAAAATGATATATACAATAAGTTACGTCATGATTATATAATAAAAACTGGTTAAAAACTGGTTTAGGTATAACCTTGAATCTAAATGTGTAATTTTTACTAAAAAGAATAATAAACCAATACAAAAGAGTTTAAAAATTTTACACTATTACAAATATCATTATGTCTTAAAATTCAATTATTCTTCCATATTAGAATACTAGCTATCTATTCGCTTAACATAAACATCAATATCAGATCAGCAGCCATTATTAAAGGAGGACAAGTTCGTTGATAAAAGTATGTTATTAGTATATGGGTAATTAATTCGTTGAGCATTAGGATTTTGTGGAAATATATGTATAGCACGTGGACATGCAGTACCACCTGTAAGATGTGGATCGTTTAGAGATTGAATGTGTATATTATTGTGCATATTAAGATAGTTTAGGAATGAGGGGTTATTTAAAACTGGTGGCATGTGAGTTGAATTCTGTAAAAATTGGTTAGAAGTAAATGATTGGGGAAAATTGGGCATTTGCAAAGCGAATCCTCCAATTTGTAAAGCCGATAATCCCGGTTGAGTTATCGGTTGGTATATGAGACACGTGTTAGGTTGGGGAACACTATTCTGTTTTACCGATTTAGGCTTGTGCAGTGGATTATGGGAAGATTTAACAAAATTCGGTAATTGCCGAGTTAATGGTGGGTATTTTGGGAAGCCGGAAACAATCCCGACGGAATGTAAGGGTACATTTTTCTTATGTTTTGTCGGGGATTGTAAGATACCGGTGGCAGAGGTAATATAAGGTGAAATTTGTATAAAGTTATTATTGAGAACGGGAATATCGTGACGTTGGATAATATTTGGTAATTTGGGAAGAATATTAGGTTTGATTAATCGATGAAAAATTTTCTTTGGACTGGTCGTCGACGATGACACTGATTTGGGCGAATCTTCGATTAAAATCCGAACGTCACTGTTAGATGCGGATTTGGAAGTGTTATCGTTATTTCGCTTAGCTTGGTTAGAAATAAATGGCGAAACTTTATTGATTAGTTGCTTAGTATTCAACAAGGTTAAAGGAGGCGGAGTGTGATTTGGAGGAGGGGTTAAAATGGCTGCTGATCCTAAACAGGTTTGATGATTGTTACTCATGGTAATTATGGCTGCGGTCGCACAGGATTTCGAATACATGGTTGGAATGGTTGATGTTGCCGACGCGATGAGGCCATTTGTCAATTTTTGTAACTTGGCTAAATTGCAGCTAGTTTTAAGGGAAACGTGATTATTATTATATGGCTTTGTATTGTGGTTAAAATTTAAATTAGTGCCAAAATGTATGGAATTCAGTATGGAGTGATCCTGGGGATTGATTTTATTACTCTCGGGACTATTATATAAACCTTTTGTGACTTGGTCATTAGATTTCCCGACACGAGTGTTGTCAACAAGGTTACATCTTGTTAAATTGTTATGGGGAAGAGCGATGGGCGATATGTGGAAAATATTGTTTATAGGGGCGTATAAAAATGTTGGAGATGCGAATTTATTAATATCTTCACTTTCAAAGTTATCGTATTCCGATGTGTCAGTAATAGATAGTGTGCTATGCGGAGATAGGATTGAGTTATTAATTTCGAGATGAGAGGTGACAACAGGGTCCCTATTTAAAGGTAAAACCGGGAGTATTTTTTTGTTCGAATAAATTTGAGAAAAATTAAATTTCGGATTCGGCTCTAAATTAGCTATAATCGGCGAGACTTTGGTATCTGTGTTAAGAATCGATAATTTTTGATATTGAATAGGTGAAGATGTCAAATTTAATTCATTGCTATGAAGAGATGCCGGAGATTCTAATAAACCTAATGATATATCGAATTCGTGAGATAATTGCGAATTTTTTATTACGTTTGGACAAAATAATGTTTCCGCCAATTTTCCTAAAGTTGGATATTCATTCATGTTTATGTTGGTGGAGATTGGTACTTTGAGGTGATTTTTATAAACAAAATCTTGAGATTTAGCTTGTTCATTTATAATATTTTCTTTAATACTTGAATATAAACACCAATTGTAATTGTTGTTGTCGTCGCTGGTTGATGATAAAAAAACTCCCGAATTAAGACTACTCGCGTCTTTGACTTGACATCCATTAAATGATGTCGGACACTCCTCAGATGAAAAACTATATTGACTAGTTGGTAAATTATAATCCGTTTTTGATATTTCCCGAGGTAGGATAGATTCGTTTTGACAAAAAGCGGGATTTGGATAAGGCTCGTTAGTATTCATATTAAGCTGATTAGACAAAATCAAATCATTAAGCGGCACCCTTTCGTTTCTCCCGGTGAAAGGTCGACCAGTTCCAACATAAAAGGAAGAAAAATCTTGATCCGATCCAATAGTAGGTTCGATATCGTTCAAGGAATCGTAATAATCGATGACGGAAGAAAAATCGGAGACACCATCAACGTTATTCACATCCTCTTCGAAAGAGGTATCCTCGAACAGCAAGTCGTCATTTGAAACGTCGTTAAGATCATCGAAGTCAGGTCGGAGAGAAATGATTAAACTATCTGGTAAATTGGTGGCATAAACTAATGGCTGAGAGTTTGGGGTAGGATTATCTGAGTAACTAGTCTGTTGGTGATTGATTTTTTGATAAAAACAAGGGTGACTCATTTGTAGCTGTCTTACTTCTTCGTCGATTTGCAAATCAACTTGCTGGGGTAAGGAATCATTTTTGTCATTAATTGGTATCTTGTTAGTGTCCGTGAATAATTCCAAGTTGTTCGTTATAAAAGAGGGACAGATATTTGTTTTTATGTAGCCGGAATCGTGTGATGAAGGAGACAGTGAGGATTGTGTGGTTGTGAATTTTGTGCAAAATGTTGGAGAGAATCCTTTTAAAAATATATAATTATATTATTTATTTTCAGAAAAGTCTCCTTAGATTTTAAAAATATTTTCAAAAAAAAACTCAAACCTGAACTAAGTATTGCAGATGTAAAATTGTGGTTGTCAAAACTCGAGTTTGTAATTAGTGTGGGCGTGGAAGATACATTCTGGTTAGGTATTTGTGACGTCATACTGGTCTTGAATAAAGAGGAGGGGTAGGTAATGTTTTGAATTTTAGATTGAATCGGTACGGGGTTTTCCATGTCATAATTATCGATCGACACAAACAATACCTCAGCTGGGCTATCATTAATATTTGTGCATTGATTTAAAGAATAACTATCGTTTTCCTTGTTTCTATCATTACTTTGGTTATCATTACACGTGGGGCCTTTAGTTTCTTGATTTGTCGTCAAAGTATTTGTCAAATTCAATTTAAATGTTTGATTTAAAAGAGTCTGGGGGTGAGATCGATTATCGTCAGAGCCATCGTCGGAGTGATAAGGAAAATCTGCCTTTTGGGAAGATGTCTTACACTTTTAAATGAAAAAAATAGTTTATTTTAAAAATAGATTTAAATGGTTTAATAAATCGTAGTAAATGTTAAAATATTTTAAGCTTACACTTTCCTCGATACGTTTTTTGTTTGAACGAGTAATGATAGACGAATTCTGTCTAGAAGCTTCTTTCCTTTTTGGCGTATGAGCGTTAGGCGGAATATTTTCGGATATATTATTCGATATAGGGGTTTGATCTTAATTTTTAAAAAAAATCATTAGGTTCTAAAATATGTTTTAATATTTTTATTGTTGATTTGTAAGAATTAAAAATGTATTTTTCAAAAATGCAGATCTCGGTCAATGATATATCTGTGTTGGTTAATATAATCTAAATATATATATATATATAATAAATTTTAAATACTACTGATTTATTTATATCAATATTTATAAGACCTGCAGAGGTACCATTTAGGGTTTTTTCTTCAAAAATTTTCTTCGGCCAGGTCAGGCCCGGCCTTTTTATAAAAAAAATTAAGGCCCAGCCCGGGTATATATTAAAAAAATATTAAAATGACACTTATACTTTTGTGAAGGATGATAAGTAAACAAAATTAGAAATAAACTTTCATAACTGTAATATTATAAATTCTGTATAGATTACCAATAATAGATTCTGGAATGATAATTGTTTCTTCAAATTTCCCCCTTTGCAAAGCGGCCCTTTTTTTCCTATTAATTGCTAGCTTCTGATAATCTAGCCAATGTCGGTGTTTTCGTTTTTTCTTATTCTATAAGTTTGCCATTAATTAAAAAGAATGATTGATAATTTGTACATTGTGTTTGTTATAGATGCATTTTTAAAATAAAATTGAATAATATGAATTAAATATGTAAAAAATAGAAATCACTAATGGAATAGTAAGGAGGTATAATATAATTTATTACAAATCCCTAGATTTTAATTGTCTTTTATTTTGTAAAAATAAGATAAAACTCTTAATTACCTTATATTTGAGAGATGCTATTTTATCTATGCCTTTATTTGGAAAACTAACAGCATTCTCCTCAATTTCAAAACTAGGATCTAGTCCAATTTCATTATTTGTATTTGCTTCTACGATTTCTATCTCTTGGGTAGTAACGTGATTATCAGTGTGCTGGAGATCAATAATATCTGACTGGTTTGATCCATCTTTGATTGGAGAGGGGTTTAGTGGCTCAATTTCTGTAAATGGTTGATCTAACACTAAAAAAAATTAGATATATGTAGGTTGTTGAGATATATTTCATGATATCAAACAAATATTCTTGATCTAATCAATGAGCAAACATGAAATATTTTGTAAAATAATTATTCAAATCGAGTTTACTCATTATTTTAGTAAAATCATCCCTGTACTTGACAGGAAACCAATGCAATGACATAGGATCGGCCTTGGTGTTGATTCTATGCCCCTTTTCGATTTTTTCCGCTTCGATTCGTTTTTTAAGCAAGTGGGTTTCGAGGACGTCGAAATCAATGCTTATCTCAAAAGCTTGTGATTCGCGATTATAAGTTAAAAGGTTAAGTGTTTGAAGTGTTTGAGCTATGTCGTATGGAGTTATTCCGGTTGTATCACTGATAGCTGTAAAACAAATTTAATGTAGAAAAAATTTACAATAAACTACGAATTCGTTTTTTTAGTTGATTAAATTAAGATAGTACAAAATTGGTATCACATTAAATTACTTTTTTTGAATCTATATTTATTGTAAACAATTTAAAGATGTCTATAATAAATGATGTAAGTCATTCTAAGATCGATTATTTGATTTAAACGGAGATAGGTTACCTTTATAACTTACTGTAAATATCATGATTAGCTTAAAAATAATAGATTATAAATAACACATTTTTAACGAAATAAAATATAGTTAGCAAAATGTAACAATATGATATAACTGCAACTAGTTATTTAAGTAATATAAATGCCTTGACATACGGTTCATAATATTTATAAGATTAAAAATGGCCACAAATGATAACTAAAGAGCATAAATTTAAATCTGGCAGGCAAATAAAATGGCATTTGAGTCATAGTGGTTATAACAATAATGCAAAAATTTTCTTAAACGCGATAAAAAAAACCTTTAAATGATGTCGGAGCATCTTGGTGTTCATTCAAATAATCCAATATTTCTCCTTTCCAATATGAAGAGTAAGCCAATCGACCGAGGTCGGATAAAGGTTTTTCTGGCGTGCCAGGAATACCTTCTTTCCTCGATAGAAGATAACCTAAATATTTGATTTAAAAATTTAACCATAATAAATAATTAATATATTTATTAATTTCCACACTAATTGTTTTCCTCTTTATTTTAATTAATTAATTTATTCGTTTAATCCATTCATATTATAATTATGATAATCAAAAATTTGGCTTTCAGAAAACTGGCCCCCCGAAAAATTAACCCTTAATTTTTTTTAAAATTTTTCTTTAATATCCAAAAATGAATAAAGGGGTATGTATTCATATGTTCTCATAAAAAGAGGTATCAATAATTAGATGGAGATTCTCAAAATACATCAGATTCAAATGAAAAGCAATCCAATCTAGAATATTAGAAATATAATTAATAGTATTAATTTAAAAGCAAATACTATCTCAAAGACATCCTTAGAGGATTATAATAAACGTCTAAGAGAATAGAATTGAATCACATCAGCAGATATATATATATAAATATACTAACTGAAATCAATCAACAGGCGTCCGTAACCTTGTTGCTGATATGGGGGTAACGTCATAATGCACGATACATTGTAGTTTTGAGGATTATTTTTTTCCTGTAATAAATAAAATTCAGTTTTTCCATTCGGAAATTTTAAAATTATATGCGATTAAATAAATCGAAGTTTAATATAATATATATATATTAAAAATATAATGATGAAAATGTTAGAGAATAATATATATTAAAAATAAGATGATGAAAATGTTAGAGACCTGCTGCCCCGGGAATTCTTAAAATATATTATTTTTTTCAAATCTAGCCTATGTTAAAAATATTGGTAAAATTTAAATTAACCCCACAGTTCTCTGAGAAAAAATATGTAAAATGACTGACTTTAGAAAAATATCCAACCACGTGATAACCTTGCGCGTCATTTTTAGTGAGAACATAGAACAGGAAGGGTTCAACATCGTAATAAAGCGTTTTATGATCTAGGAATAGCTTAGCGAGTAGACACAAATTCTGGCAATACATTTTACAGACGTTACCGTCTACCTCGAAAATCGAGATCCCATTTTTCCTGTGAATTTCGTTACCGGGAGGATTTTGCCATTTACATTTCCCCTGGTTTAAAATAGGTGATAAAATTATTGTATCCGAATTTACAATCACATCTTGCGTTTGTTTAACGTTATAATGTAATTAGGGAAACTATAAAAATTTATCCGAACAATATTCATATCATAAAAAAACAAGTAATTAATTGCTAGGGCTGTGCAGATATTAGATATCGGATTAGCACTGATATTTAGCGTTTTTCAAAAAATATCGGATAAACCGATTCAATCTGATATTTGTATCGTTTTTATATTATCATTGTATATATAAAAAAAAATTCTTTATAAATAATTCATAATAGGGCTCTACCGATATTAAGTATCGATATCGGATCTGCGCCGATATTTAATTTTTAGAAAAAATATAATATTTGTCGATATTTACCAAAATTTATATTTTTTTTGAACTAATTTCCTTTTCTCGTAATAAATCATCATAACTCCCATAAAAAAAAGTGTCTTATAAAATAAAAATGTTTAAACTGTGTCCTCGGCTTATATGGATACTTATTGCTTTTTAGTATAGGCTAAAAAGTTTTTGAATGAGAACACCCTGTTTTGGTTTGTTTTAAGTATTTGGTGGCTTCTCGTTTTTTTTCTTTCTTTTTTTTTGTTTCAGATTTTTTTTCTTTAGCTTTTTTAGCTATTTTAGTATTAAACCGACTTAGGAATATCAATAAACTTTATAAAAAAATTACCCAAGATTTTTGTGTACTTTTATTTTTATTTGTCTATTGTTTAATCCTATTTTTATTAAGAAAGAATTTGTAGTAAATAAAGATCCTTCAAATTTAATTTTGATTAATTATCAAAGATATCAATATTTATTTGAGGGTTAATGATCAATGGTTTCCAACTTTGGCAAACTGTGCATGTTAGTATTTGGCATCTCGTGCAACAAGTATTTCATCAGAATTAGTCTTCAAAAAAGCTGGTGATATATATATCAGAGACCTGCAGGCCAGGGCCTTTTTTTTTAAATCCAGGCCGGGCCTTAGAAATTTTTTTTTTTAATATTCGGGCCAGGCCTAAATTTTTTTAATCTGAGCCGGGCCGTACAAATGGTACCTCTGTAGGTCTCTGATATATATATAGCCCTCATAGGAGAAACTTATTATCACATTAACTTGAGGCTCCTATCTTTATAAAGAAAAATATCCAATATTCGAATTTTAATTATTTTATATTTCATTATTATATAATTTTATTAATTGATATTAGTATTTAAATTTGTTTTTACTTTTTATTAAAATAAAGATACAAAGTTTGTTATATCGAAAATTTAACATGAATATATATTATATTATATGCATATAGTGTGTTTTAAGGCTGATACTATAACTTAATAAAATAAGTATATACTATATATCTTATAAATAAAAACCTTTCTACAAATTTAAAGATAAACCATATTTATAGAATTTAAGAGCTGGGATAAGTGAATATTTTGATTAAAACGCTTTTAAAAAATATTTATACACAGATTTTTGTTATTCCATCATTATCTTAGAATAAAAAAATATCGATGAAATCCTACAAGATAATAAATTAATGAAAAGAAGTAAAATGTAATTTATTGGTAAATGTTCAAATAGTAAAAAATTTACACTATTTTTTATTATATTTAGTGCAACAAGAAAGGGATTTTAAAATATCTAACGAGTCACATTCAGCTAGTATTGTTAAAAGGCTCGATTTCGCCAATTTTTAAAAACGGTTAACTCAAAATTAAATAACTTACACTAATTAGTTTTGCCCAAAGATGGCAGAAAGGTTTATACTATTGGTAAAATTTCAAGGCTATATTTTGGCTAAATCTTTACTCCTTTTTGAAAATCGGCTAGATTGATTTTTTTTAGTAAAATCGAAAAATATCGTATATGGATCGGCACAGCCCTATTAATTACTTATTACTTTGGGGAAAAAGCCCAATTAATTACATATTATATTACCAGAGATTACCAACTTAATGTTTTGGATTAGCACATAACGATTTTTAAAATAAATAAGCAAAAAATAATTTTGTGAAATTTAAGATAAAATTTATATTTTTTATTAAACTATAATAAACTACTATTACCTACCTCCTACCATAAATATGATGAATTAACGCAACAAATTCAATTTTCAATTTTAAAACTATAAAAAACTAATCCAAAAAAAAAATAATATTTTGAAAAGGTGATAGAAAAAAATTCCATCCTATAAGCAATGTATATAAACTTTGTGTCTATCCAATATCATCTTGCTCTTCATGTACTTGAGACAAAATTCACAAAGAAACAATTTAGGAAGTCGAGCGTATTCTTGGGGGTATGGACTAGAGTACCAAGTTCTAATTTCGAAACGACCCATTTCAACACTCCCTAGATATATTAAAATAAATCTATAAATTAGCGATCTGCATCGGGCCTAATTTATATAAGCCCGGCCTGAAATTTTTTTAAAGTTCTGCCCAGCCAAAGCCCTCAAAAAATATTAAGCTCGTCAAAAAATATTAAGCTCGTCAAAAAATATTAGGCTCGACCCATTAAGAACCAAAATTATTTTTAAGGCCAGGGCGTGATTTACAGATCTCTACTATAAATATCTATTATTTAAAATAATTCTTCTTGACTAAAATATAATAGTTTTGGAAATAACTTTAAAATTTTCATATCACCATGTCTAATTAAACTTAATTCAATTTTAAGGGAAAATGTGAACAAATAAAATATCATCGGCCAAGGCCGATAAACTTAATAATATAAGCCCCAGATATGATATCACAAAGTACGTCCTTGAAGGCGATTCTATTTTAGTAAAAAAAAATACAGTTGCGGGTGGTATATTTTCTAATAATTTCTATATGCAAAAACAGTTTGAAGGCAACTGAGATGGTGACGACCAAATAAAAGTTGGTTCGAGGCTTTACTATTTCATTGAGAAATAGTAAATTTACAATACATATAAGGTTCTTTAATTACATATGATAAAACATTTTAATTTACATAATTCGTTACCTGGACAAGCGCTTCCTAGTCCTGTAACTGTAACGGCCATTTTTGGGGGAGGCTGATTAGAAGGACTCCCACGTCCACTGTCTGCGTTGCTAGTGTCTTCTCCACCTATGCTAACAGCACTTTGATCGTACAGGTGAGGAAAGGGATACTGGGATTCTTGAATTCGCTATTAACAATGTCATTTTATTTTATAATTATTGAAATACCCTTAATATAAATATTTATAGACCAAGTAATTAATCCCTTCAAAAAATAACTATTTATCATAGTCCTCGAGACGCGTATGAATCTCATTGTGTTCTTTTCAATTATAGTAGCAGCCTTATTAAAATAAAAGCAGCGTTAAAATAGAATAGATAAATAAATACCTTTTGTGCTCTAGCTTTAGCCTTCTGAAATAACTCGTAATCTTCTAAGGTCACGTCAGGAGGAAGTACAATATTTGCTTGATTTTGTTGCTGATTATTTGAATCTTGTGTTTTTTTAAGAGAAAATAAATATAAAATTTTAAAACTAATCATGTTGGCCAAGATGAAGAGACTTAGTTTAACACACGCAAAGGGGTATTTAAGGTTAGCACCCATTAAAATAAAAAATTGAGAAATCTAAATTTTTATTTTTGGGCGCTTAAAAAAAAATTTTCGATGAATCTAAATACTAAAACATATATTAGCATGTCTTATTAAACAAAAACATAAAAAAAAGCTTATGTAGCCTTTTTTAAATATCATTTTCATGAATATCTTTAATTTAAAAGTTTTCAGTTCTTAAGCCTTCCCCTTAAGATAAATTTTATAAAAAGACCAGTACTGCCTCTTGAATATCGGGATATGTAGATGGTAAGAAATTATCATTTTTATTATTTTATTTTTACAATTTAAGGCAGAGGGTTAATTTTTCTTTTTATTTTCAGTAATAACGATAAGATAATTAAATACCCAATTTATTTTAAATAATATTAGATTTCATTAATGTTAATTACTCCCCCACAAACATTTGATCCAGACCGCTATCATTTAATAAAAAAAGGAGATATAAATGCTTAAATGGACAATTTATTTAAAGCGTGAAATATAATATATAGCCGGCATATTCTTTGTGAATGTTTTGCATTACTTTTCAAATGAAAACATATCCAATTTTCAAAAAAATTATTTGTATAATCGATGTCGCAAGTTTGCAGCCCGGCGGTGGGGTTAAAAATGTTAACAATAAGGATTTATTTATATAAAAACGTTACCTAATTTTGTATTTATTAGCTAGCAAATATTAAATATTTTTGAATCATTTGTCTATGGCCTAGTTGGTAAGTGCCTTACAATTAAAAAAAACGGGTTGCAGCCGGTTCCTTTCCTACAATTTCTTGACTTTCCTCGAAAAATCTTATACCTTTTCCTTGGGTGGGCGGGTTAAACAAAATTTTAAAACATGCGGGCGAGAGATTTTAAATATTTTTGGGCGAAAATAGCAGAACAAGCTAATATTTATAAAAAAAACTATTTTTTTAAATCTCATAAAATCGCATATTAGTGTATAATTTATGAGAATAAATAATAATAAGCGAAAACACCAACCAGTTAGGTTTAAAAAATATGGGCGGACGGATGGAATACTGATTTTTTTAGTTCGAGTTAAAAACCCATCCATTGCAGACCTCTAATATATACTCCTTTTGCTACGGCCAAAATTTAAGCTTTTTTTTGTTACAAAAATTTGGGATCATAAAATTAATGATAAATAATAATTTTTTAAAAAAACCATAAGATCTCGTCCTAGCTATATAAAGCTCTTAAAGCGCTTCCAACGTAAAAACACAAGTGATCAAATTCTCGCTATATCAATTTTACAAGCGTTTTAGAAACAGCGTTGAGCGAACTAGGACGCCCAATTTTTCATTTTTATTTTGAAAAACAAGATTGGGATTCTCAATATTTTTATTAACCTTTACTGATCAAATTTTTAGGAGAGATTCGATCTTTATCCCGTTTTGATTTGTTGAATTTATCGCCACCGGCCGTCATAAAAGGTTTCCTATTCCAAAGAGCCTTGTCCTTAAGATTCGCGAACGATAAATTCTGGTTCGTTGAATTAGTAGTAGTCTTAATGCAAAGCGAATGCCTACCCTTCTTTTTGTAACCCCCGCTATTATTAATACCTCCGAAATTTATTCGAGGTCTACCTCGGCCTCTCTTGAAAGGCGGGTGCTGCTTACCGATATTCGATTCGGAAAAACTTTTGACGGATTTTTTGTTGTATGGGTGGTGGCTATTATTTTTGCATACACAAAGTTAATTTATCAAATAACCGATAGGTGCCCATTTATAGGCCTAGCTTAAGGCTATAAAATAATTTATCGCTTTAGGTTTCATAACTTTTGGATTTGGTCTTGGTTTAAAAACAATCATTTCTAAACGGTCTCTATGCATAAAACCTAAGAGAGCACTGTATATACTGATCATAGCATTTTTTTAAAAAATACGAATTAAATATGATAATTACGAAGGTTTGTTCATGGCTAAATAGTAGGGCTGTGCCGATATTAAAATGATATGGTTATAAATGTGCATATCTTGGAATTGTCACAAGATAAGCAATAAATTTTTAATGCATAACCATCCTGGAATGTTAATAAAATTTTAAAATAATTTATCAAATAAAAATATTTTAAAGAAAAGTCAGCATCGGCAAATGAAATGAGCCGTGGATCGGTTTTTAATAATTTTTTGCCGATCTAATCCAGAAAAAATTATGATAGAGCAATTCTGACGCCTCCTTATAATAATTTTGTTTTATAAAAAATTTTTAATGTAATATTTATATTACAAGATGTTAATGCATAAAAAATTAGCTGCCAATTCTGGGATATACACATTTATAAACAAGATTTTAATATCGACACAGCCCTATTAAATAACATGTATGCAAAATTTAATTAGTGTCTTTTTTGAGATATGAAAAATTTTAATCAATTTTGATAAGTCCAATTTTTTTCTTCAAATGCTATAATTTCAATGTAAATTGGTATTTTTAGACTATAAATTTTTTAATTAGTTATTAATATAAAAAATAAAAAGGTTAAATACAAATTTAAACGAGGTAAATATTTTTTAATTTTAATATTTCTTGACTGACTCTATATTAACCTATAAAATTGCTATTAATGATATTGAATCAAGTTTAAAAAATAATAATCATATTAGATAGATGAATGTTTTTAAGCATATTTGAATAAGAATATAATGGCGGGGAAAAAAATAATAACTGAGATATAGTAATCTGAATTCGGGCCTAAAAATGTTCCAGCAATATTATTTTAAATGAATGCTTTCACTCGAGGGTTAAAGTTAAAGAAACTAAAAAATACGGTATTTTTTATTTACTATTTGTTAGATATGTTGGGGGTATTTTTAAGAGAACCCAATGATTGTTGGTAATGAGTGAGCTTGTAACGTTTTTTAACGCCGCTAGCGATATTGTTAATCATGTTACGGTCTTTGAGATTATAGCAATAAGGACAGAGCCATTTTTCTTTTTTTCCGATTATTTAAAAAAAATAGTTAAGATAATTTAGATTTTATTACATTTACAGTTAAAAAAGAGTTCCTCTAGGGAATCAGATATATATTAAAATAATCAAAAAATATTTATTGTAAATTATAAAATCCATTGATAGGTCGAAAAGCGGGGGGGGGGGGGGTGGGTTAATTATATAGTAATTTTAAAAAATAATTGTATAAAGTAAAGAGTTCCGTTTTCAGCTTATTTGTTGCATATCCCTGCACTTAAAGTAAAAGCGAATTGGTGGGGAAGTATGCAAATTTTTTTGTATAATTCACCGTAAATGTAAATGCAGGGGAACATAGTTTAAATTTTTTTTATAAAAATAAGACTCAAAACTAAGATAAAATACATAAAGTTATTTAAATATGCAATCACAGCAACTTTATTTTCTCTAATTAATATTTTTTTTTTAAATTAACAAATAAAATTAATGGAAAAAAATGGAAGGTGCGTTAAACTTTGAGAATTGGATAAGGTAAGGCCGCAACAATCTTTGTGAAAACCTCGATCGCACGCACTGCAAAGCGCCAGGGTATCCTGATAAAATATATCATTTAAAATAAACCTTTTTAAAAAAAATATATAAATATGATATTAGCGTTAGGCCTTCGGCCATGAAGAGCGATTCACTCAAGCAATGCGATATACATCGCTAAGCGATATCATAACTGATTCATCACGGCGATCTTGAGATATAAGTAACCAGCGGTCGCGATTTCATGATCTCGCTCAGTATTTATAAATTATACCTAATATTAGCTTGATTATGTAAATCACGTAGCGAAAAATTTCACATCGCTTGAACGAATTACGCTTACTAAAAATGCAGAGTTATATCAGAGAGTTTTTGGCGTCCTAGCGCGTAATATCAAAAAATAACAACCCAAAATTCGAGCGGTTGATAAATATCGTTTCATAAAATTATATAATACGTGCTTGCACAAATTATTTTATCGTCTGCTTAAGTTGTATTCCAAATAATTAATTTACGTAATTAAAAGTAATAAGTACATAATATATTAAAACATGTATCATATTAATATCGACAGCCTAAATGTTCAAAGCGAAAAACATTGTAAATTATAAGATCTTTGACCCTGATTACAAAACTATAAACGATAAAATGGTAGATATTCTGGCAACGGTTATGAATGAATAGCAATTCCCATAGTCAAAGTTTTATTATTTTAATAATCATAAATCCAACTTAAAAAATATTTCAAAAAATGACGATCGAAAGATTTATGATATCTAACAATATAATAATATTTTTATGAGGAACTTACGGCGTTTCCCGTGAGGCCGCATTTACAGCATTTTTTGCATTCTACACATTGCCACCTCATATTTTTAATGAGATCCGTGAGTTGTGAAGTGTATTTGAGACAAGATGGATGACCTATCATAATTATTTTTTTTATGTATATATTTTAGATATAAGAAAGAAGTGTAACGAGGAGAGCGATCATCCGATATAAATGATATCGGCTGATTATCGATAATTTGTTCGTATACTATTTTCAAATTTTAATTAATTTATGGCGTATTTATTCAGTATGTAAACATTGATAAATTATTTATTTTTACAGAAAAATTGCGATCATTCTGTTTCGAAAGTTTTTCTAACGTGTAGACATTAGTAATGATACAAAATCCCTCCATAACCTACTATTTTATCCAGAAAAAAAATATTATGCAAACCTCCAGTTTGCTCATAGATGGCACAAAAGTTTGGACATGTGAAATCACGAGGTTTAGGCAATACTAAAATATTGAGTTAGGCGTTTATAAAAAATTGCATCACTAAACATTAGAATTCCATCTTAGTAAATTCATGATCAATATAAATTGTTAGATTTTTTTAAAATTGTTCTTAAGTTTTAAAATCGTATATATATTATATTTATTTTTAACATGTTTTCAATTAATTAGTTTTTTTTAAATAAATTACCCCTTCAATTATATAAGAATGTTCTAATTTTATACATAAATATATTTTCAAATAATAATAAATTTCATTTAAGGCGCCTTTTATCGGATCTAATATGTAAATTAAATAATATCGGCCGATAACGAATATTTTAAAAAATACAAAAATTTGGCCCGATCAGATAAGAAATATCGGTACATCCCTCGAAAACCATTTTAAATTTTTTTTAGCCTAATTCTTTAAAAATAAAACCATTATTTATAAAAATTATTTTATTGATTGTAATGGGCCTTTACTTTTCATTTTGATGTATTTTTAACTTACAAATAATTTTCAAAAAATGTTGGCTCAATTAGTCCGAATATTTCAGGTTCGCCCGCCCGTCAATTATCTTAAAAATATTAACTCGCCCGCTCACTTTCTCAGTGCTTAAATTTTTAACCCGTCCATCAACGTTCACCGTATGCGCGGACTAAAATCTGGCCGTTTACAAATTTTCAAACTAGTTTGACGATTCACTCGTTTAAAGATTTACTCACATAGAAATCAGCTGTAAACGCCGTTGTGTGATCACCTAAAAAAATAATTATGGAAAAATAGATTAAAATCATTTAGTCAACGTGCAGACCACCATGGCGTTTAGAGCTGACTCCTACTTTCACCTTTAAATGCATTTATATGAATAAATCGTCAGTGTAGGCTGGTATATTAACTTGGGCAGATCAATCAGACCTGCTCTTCATATAATTTTTTTTTTTAAATTGTAAATTTTCCGGGCCAAATTTTAATTTAAGTTGTTCGGATTCCTGAGGAAATGAATCCGATAATGGGTTACAATTAAAAAATAGGTTGAATATTATAAACAAACGAAGGCTAGTTAAGATATTGTCAAATCACTATTATCGGATAACTTTCACAAGCTAAATAACGAAGATGCCTCCCAACCAATTAAAGTGAATATTTTTCGCCCCCCCCCCTCCATTAGTAGAATTCTAAACAAGAAAAAAATAATATGTTATTAAAAAAATATGCTTTTAAACTACAAATTAATAACCCATAAATACCACATCATAAAAACATAATAGACAGTATATATAAATTATATTATATATTAGATATTACATATCGTATATAATGATTATATATATTTTTTTTTAAGAAGTCCATTAACTTATATAAAAAAATTAAATGTTTGCGAAAGAAATAAAAATGAAGGTATAACACTTTTTTATTTTGAATACAAAAATAAACGTCTATTTTTTAAAAGCTTTATTCCTTTTTTTCTAAAAAAAAACTAAGGTTGCCATCAACTCCACATGGAACGTAATGCAATATTTAGTAGTCGAAATCGATATTATTAGGAAGATTACATCCTGATTATGCGCTATCACGACTATTCGAAGGAGCGAATATGGGTTTGCATTAAAACTGTACAGTGGCGTAGCTAGGATTTTTTAATGGAGGGGAGGGGAATTTTTTTAGGGAGTCCCTTCTATAAAAAATAATTATATATTATTAATTCTCCGTGGTTAGTTTATAGAAGTAGTGAACAATTTGTTAGATAAAAACCAGCTATAAGCGACATAAAAATTAGGGCACATTAGGCTGAACTTAAATTACGATTTAAAAATCAATTTAGATTAAATACATTAAAGTTTCTCTTTCTCCGATTCAAAATATTTTCATAGATGTTATTTTTTCATATGTTATATTTTCAAAAATTTGATATAAATCTTCTATTAAGACGCAATTCTAAGCATGAAGTTTGCCAAACTTTTGTAAATATGTAATTTTTAGAGTAAATTTTTTAGTTAAATCTTCAATCCGCTTGGTAAACAATATAAATAAAAAAATTATCAGCAAAATACGAAAATTACTAAAATTGATACCAAGATTCAAGATGATCGAAGATACTAAAAACACAAAATTAATTACAATATAAAAATGAAATATCTTAAATAAATTTTACTATTATCATTATAAGAAAATCTATCATCTTTTAAAATATGAAACTCGATGTAGTTGTAGCTTTGATACAATATTTAGTAGCGACATAAAAAGGTAGTCAAATAAACTTGTGGCATCTTTGGAAAATGTGATATCAAAATATAATGGATTTGGTTATGGTAATTAAAAACTGTTATAATAGCTGATTCTAATTTTAAGTACGCTTTTACAATAAAAAAATAATCCCATACGAATTATAGAATCTTTTGGAATGCGTCGCGTTTTTTTATTTTATTTCTGTCTTTAACAATATTAATTCTTAGATTTTTGAGATTTTTTTAACACACTTTTTTTAAATAGAAGAAGAAATTTTCTAGAAGATTATATGGAATTAGAAATTTAAGGAGGGGGTTTTATCAATTTTAAAAAATGAAAGCAAATTTTCGTCATATATCAATATAGAAGTATTGTGGAAATAAAAATTTTACCTAATCATATTTCCCATTAAGGAAGGGGGTGGGAGGTTTCCCCTAAACCCCCCATTGCTTATACTGTAACTATCAAATTTTTTAACAATATAAATTATATTATTAAATTTATGATTGTTTTTTATAAATAAAGTTATTTTTTAAACTTTAAAAAAAATTCGAGGGCTATGGGAAGGGGGGCGTGTCAACTTCAAAGTCCAAACCCCCCTCTCTACGCCACTAAAACTAAGAGCTATTGGAACATCAAAACGCTCACACGTTCAAATTAAGACATGGACCAAAATCTCACAAAGTGTTATCCATGTATGGTGACAGGAGGGTTATGACGATTTTTGCATCCTTAAAATTTCAGAGGAATCTCAAGTAACTTTCTAATATTATAAAGGAGGGAGGGGGCTCAGCATCATTTGAGTAAATCCAGATGGTTATGGTTGACCAATGTTAGTTCAATCCAAATTCAAAATAATTTTTCTTTTAAAAAAGAAGAAAAAAAATGAGATTGAAGTACCCGTGGTGCTGTTAAACGGCTCGATTTCGCTAATTTTAAATTAAGATTTTAGCCAAAATAAATGTCATGCAAGCCTTGAGATTTGGTTAATAGATATCCAAACTTTTTTGCCATCTATGAGCAAAATCTCCAGGATTGCGCATATTTTTCAGTCTAAAATATTAGTTCAACTCGAAAAATCGAGCCAGCTTGCGGATATTTATTATATTTTTACTTTAAAAAAACATAACTGGGGGTTTAACTTCTCATTCATATTTACTGCGAATTCGGGGCGAATACTCGAATATGTACTAAATAAAATAATATTTTAAATCACAACTCAGCATAAATATAAGACAGCGCTATTCATATTTTTTTTATTAATTATATATAAAAGAAGATCTATAAGATAATAATAATATATAATTGAATCGAAAGGAAAGGAAACATTTAATTATGTTACGCATCATGTAAAGTAATCAAATTACCTGTTTGACCTTCTTTTTTTTTAAAAAAGAAGAATATATAGCATTTTTATGAAATAGATTTATCCACGAAACAAAATATTTATTTCAATTACGTAAGTAAACAATATTCATAAACATACTGATTAAGAAATCAAAATAAATTAAATTTATCAAGCACTGCTTAAGTGATGAACGCGTTTATAGCCTATCAGTATTTATTTTTTAGTAAAGAATTCTAATTAGATGTCTGAATAGAATATACTACTCAGAATTTGGAATAATAATTAAGAAGATCTACAACGCCATTAAATGATTTATTGTTCGCCGAGAGTTGGTATTCATTGATTAAACTAGCCATGATAAAAATGATTCATCATATAGTTATCGAAGTGACGAATAAACAACAGCTTAGACAAACGAACACATATTCAGATGATGAGATAGTGCAATCTTTTTTAAACGAAAAAAAAAGACCTTTTTTAATGTTCCTCGAGACCGATTATGTGTTACTCGTGTTCAACAACGATGGTATTAATTGATAGATCTAGCGTTCTGTAGAAGATTGACGGGTCGAATTATTGTTCTAAACTTTGGATTTCGTCTTCTTTAAAGTTTTCTACTTCGTCGATTAGAGAAGAGTAGAGGCGCGGATTCAAGTAAAGGTCTAATCGATCTGCGGCCCATCCCCTAGATCGTTGTCATGGATATCCTCATTATTTATTCATTGATGGCTTGATCTGTCCGCTAAGTTCTGTTCCGAAGCTATTCATGCTAAATTCCGTGCAAGGTGGACAAAGTTAAAGAATCTAGCGGACAGATCAAGCCGTCAATGGTAATGAGGATGCCCATGCCACTCTCCGTGAAATTGATATAGGGGTTCTGCCGCTAATCGATCAGGTCCTCCCTTGGATCTATGTCTCCACTCCTCTCTAATAGACGAAGTAGACAAATTTAACGAAAACGAGATCCAAAGAATGTTTGGATCAAGACTTCGACCCGACAATCTTCGACAGAACGCTAGATCTATCAATTTATACAGTCGCTAAAGAACACGAGGAACACATAAACGATCCCGAGGAACATTAACCACCTTCGTTTACTTACATTTTTAGATTCGCAATAAAATATAGTTTAATATCTTTCAATTATCTATATATATTTTGTACACGTGTAGGTCCGGAAATTCAGGAGGGCAAGCTTAAGAAATAAAGTCCCGTGCCTATATAAAGGCAATTAAGGGTTTTAAAAAAAAATAATCTTTTTTCAATTATTTTTACCGTTACGCTAATCGTTATTTCTTGAAATTTCTGAACCAACGAGCCCTGATTGGTTGAATTTTTACATGGTTTTTATAATATAATTATGCACTTTACAATATATACGTTGTCAGCCATGAATTGTACTATTTGTTTAGTTATAAATGTATGTTCATTTGTATTATCAATCCAAAAATTTTATTATTGAGCACGTGGGTCTTTTTTTTACAACCACAAAAAACAAAAATCGCATTTGAAAGTATAATGATTAAGGATAGGCATCTTTAAAATAATTATATTTCCATACATTTCTGACAATCTCTTTGTCTACAAAAAAATTTTATATTTTTTTAAAAAAACCTTTTAAAATAAAATATGTTTGCGGTAAATTTTATTTTATTTTTTCAAAATTTTTGAACGCCTTTTTTGCAAAAAGTTTATCCTTCGATTTTTTTAATATTAAAAATATAACTATAAAAAACAATTTTTAAAAACGAATAAAAATTATAATTCAAAAAAAACGATAAAATAAAATAGTATTACATTATATTACTTTTACTATGAAGCTCTTTAACCAATGATTTGCAGCTATTTATTTATAATTTTTTTTTTAAAAAAAGGCCAAAAAAAATGGAAGAAATCATTTAATAATGATGATACATTATTATAAATAGGAATAAGCGTAAAGGAGTACTAAGGTAAACAAAGTTGTCAAGGGGATAGGTTGGAATAGATTTTTAGAATAGTGGTGATAACTCTTTGACCAACTCCAAAACGATCAAGAGTATTCATCAATTCATAAAAAATTCTTAATTTTTTAAGGGAAACATAACTTAGCAGCCTATATTTTATGGTTACCAATTGATACAAAAAAATTTCTCCAGTCCAATTAAAGCGGAAAATATATTTTTAAATTAGTTTCGATCGAGTCTTTCGGCAGGTGTTCAATAAAAAAAATGCAGGATAGTCTGTTGCGTCTTAACGCAAAAGTAAATCTGCTTTAAACGTAGTAGAGTTTAAAAAAATATATATAATTTTTTTAAATGAGTGAAGAAAAAAAAGCTTCTTAAAAATATTAGTGCGGGAATAGTTGTCATAAAATAAAAAAAAATTATCTATAATAAAGATTTCTTTCCATATGGATGGATGGAATTAATTTTTGGTAATATAATAATTTTCATCGATAAATTTTTTTTTATCGGCGCATAAACAAAAAAGAAGTAGTTAAAGATCCTAATTTTTTTTTAACGAATTTTATCCTCCAACGAGTTAAAAAAAATTATATAACCTATTACTTATATCATTTTTCTTTTCAATACATTTTTTAAACCTGATAAAAACAATTATTATTATAATATAAAATATAGATTATACATAATATGCTATGGTTGACATAATTTTTTTTATATATTAGAATCGAATTATTATATCGATAATACTTATTAATTTGTGGAATATAATGTATTATGTATTTTTGTGTCGGATTATAGTTATGTATGCGTGTATGTAGTAAGAGAGAAGAAGATAATTGTATCTTGTATTATAATGTGAAGCTAATGAAAAATTACATAATATAATAGAAAATTTTTTTTGATATTAACCTATTAACTTGTATGTGTATTTATAAATATATATTTATTGTTATATTTTAATATAATCTGTTTTTCTTTTCAATATTTATTAATTCCATCTTATTTTAAGAAGAAGTTTTCCGAAAACTACTTTTTATTCGACACCATTATTACTTATATTAGTATTATCGTCGGTTGAAAATTATAATGTTCTATATTCATTTTTTAAAATTTTTCAGGAGAACATTATATTTAAAGGATAACACTATAATGCACTTAAAGGACTATTCTAAATTATATTTTTATCGTTAATTTATATGATATACACACACTACTTAAGAATTGATTTATCGAATAGTACATTTTGCAATAAATGTGGATATAAAACACTATTAATAGTCAGCCGATGGTATATTTAATAAACTATGTAATAAATGGCATCACGCTATAAGTGAGTTGGCGAACCAGGGTTAGAAAAATTAAAAGGACTGGGCCGGGCCAAAAGAATGTGAAGCAAATTGCTCATAAAAAATATTTTAGGTCTTAGATGTGTTCAAAAGAGTTAGACTATGTAAATAGGGATGGTGTCAAATGGCCCGATTAATTTTAGCCAAAATAATATTATGCAATCCTCGATATTTGGCATATAGAAGTTCAAACCTTTCTGCCACCTATGACCCAAATCTACAGGTTTATATAATATTATATTTTGACTGAAATCTTAATCGAGTCGTTTAGTAGATAATATTATTTTGACCAAAATTTCAGATATAAAATAGAGTATCTTCTTAAATTGACAATATTTCTTATGAAAATATGATTTTCTTGGGGAGGCTAGGAAAATTTCATGATTTGTAAAAAAAAAATATTATCTGGCCTCCGTGGTCAGCTTAATCCAAACTCCGTTTGTTTGATTGACGGGCAATGTTCCAAAAAAATTTCTCTTTGATAATTTATAAAACTTACGAATATTGGTATAGGTGAATACATACCACAAATCAAAATAATTAAACCCAGATATTCGGTCTCCATAATCGTTTACCATGAGTTAGTGAGATTAGTTATATAAAAAAAATGATTCAAGGAAAAGATAACCCTCTGATTTTCTTTTTTTTGATCAACGTGAAACAAAGGCCACATTTATAATAAACGCGTATGTTCAAGCGTTGCGTTTTAAAGTAGTGTTATTACAAAATAAAACCAATAGGCATAGATTCATAAATATGAAGCGTTATGATGATTAACGCTATGATAAAATTTGAAAACCATATATTGCAACACGTTGATAAAAAAATGTACAATACTATTAAAAATAATAGCGAATTAGATAAAAAGATGCATGATTTTTCTTAAATGTTAAATAAAATAATTCTCTTTATTTTAGCTTTATCCCAAATTAGTTTTTAAAATTGAATCAGTTATAATAACGCAACGCTTAAAGATAACGCTTTTATTATAAAAACAGCCTAAGTTGTTTATTTAGTAGAGCCATAGGAACATCGCCTCAAATTCATCTCTTTTGCATATGGACGATAAAATTATAAGGTCTAGCTTATCTATTTCCAGTACCTGATACTGGTGTTAAAAAAATCGTTAAACATTAGATTTTTGTTTACTCATTTTCCCGCATTCGTCACACTTCAGCATTTCGTCGGAGAGGTTTTTATCGTTAGCTTTTTCACAGATACTACAAGATTTGTTCGAGGAAGATGAGGGCGAATTCTAAAAAAAAATTTTTATAAAATTGTTTTTAATTATTTTAATAATAAAAAAAATTAATACGTGGCAAAAATATTATATCATTCAAATCTTAATAATCGACCTTTACAAAAAATAGATCTAAAGAACGTATCTTAATTTATTTCTCGTACTTATAAAATAAAAACATCTTCAAAATAAATTATTAAAGTTAATCATAATTTTTTTTATTTATGAAAAGAGAGAAGAATATTACGTCAATTGAATTTTAATTTTCTTTGTCAACACCCCCCCCCCCCGCCTACGAAGAGATAATGTTATATTATCGTGTAGTAAATTATTTTATTTTTATTAATTATTTATAAATTCAAATCCCTTCCTTCCTTATTATGTATCAGCATAATCTTAAAGCATACATATAAGACATTATTTTAAATAAGTAAAAAGAAAGCTTTGCTTTTTTTAAAAAAAAAAGGATCTTGAGTAGCCGCCAGGAGTCTGTCCTATCCACAATGCAATTTTTAAAAACGGCGAACTCAGTATTTTATTCAGAAAAATATTACGCACAGTAAGTTTTACACATCTATTAACGAAATCTCGAGACAGGCGATATTTTTCTAGCTAAAATATTGAGTTAGCTGTTTTTAAAAAACAAGGCGATTTTGCCTCGCTATTTATAGAGTCCTATCTCAAGAATATATTATGTAAAAATTTACATGATTGAATAATAAAACATATTAAAAAAATTTTTAGGTTAAAAGACATTTTTTTTTAAAAAAAACCTTAATTTGTACCTGTATTAAAATATAAATAATGTTTTGGTTGAAGATAGAAGATGAAATAAATTACAAATGTAAAAAAAAATAATATATGAGTAAAGCAATACATATTTTTTTTAAAGTAATCTAATCTAATATTATGTAAATAAAAAACATTTTATATCAAAATATTAATTTATTTTTTACATTTTTTAAAAAAATATAATTATAAAATATGTCAAGGGCTCGAAAATGACATTATTATCTTATCTTCTATTTATCTACTCCTTTTTTAAAATATATAATATGTATCTATCTCGTATCCCATTTTTATATTTGACATGTTAATTTAAAAATCGCCGCAAGATATCTCATTGTTATGGGAATAAAATTTTATGTCAGCATTGATATATGGTTCTTAGTTGATCAATTAAATCCCATAGGAAGAGTAAAAAATATTATCAATTTCGGATAAAAATGGATTGCTAAAAAAACTCAAATCTAACTCACATTTTTAAAATGGCTAAAACAAGATTTTAGGTAAACAAATATAATCTATATTTGTCCAAATGATGGCAGCTTTTTTGGCAAAGTCTTGAGACTTAAGTAATATATTTTTAGCTAAAATTTTTAACCCGTTATGAACGTTTTTTTAAACAGTACTACCTATAATAATGAAAGTCGGTATAGAAGATGAGATTCGCCTATAACATTTTAATATTAATCCGACACCCAAAAAGATAATGAGAAATCTTTATAAACAAAAAAAAGGCAAACATTTTCTGAAATTTTTATGGTAGGATACTGGAATGCGTTTCCGGTCAAATCAGATTAATATGATATATATAATAATATAATCTGCTATCCGTCTTAAAAAAATTTGCACAAGATTCTCTGTTCAATCATATTTAGGCCTTCTTTCCTTCCTTTCTTCCCCGCGGAAAAAAATTATTTTTAAATGTATGTCGTAATTTTTAAAGGGATCATGACTATCCGGGATCTTCACGGGATTTAAAGGGATCCCTTTAAAATTTCAATTTTTTAAAGGATAAAGAACTATACGGTATTATCACTGGGGCAGAGATTGACCTCCAGTTGAATAAATCTTTTGATTAGCTATCGAATGATACTCTATACTAGACATATCTTATATCATAAGGCCAAAAAAAAACAAATTGAAAATTAAAAACGCAACGAAACTCGTGGAAAACGCTTTTAAAATAAGATTCCTCTTTATCACGATTAAAACGTGACAATCCCATCCCGTATTATCATTCCTTAATTATCAACCCTAATTTTTTAGTTATCCCTTTAAATCCCGTGAAGATCCCGGATAGTCATGATCCCTTTAAAAATTACGACATGTATAATATTTTCGGCTGGAAACCGGTATTTTGTGATAGTAAAATTTCTATTTGAATACGAGTTTTAGTGTAAGGTTTAGATTATTAGTATGTATTAAATTAGTTTGTAATTTTTTTTTGTTAAATAAAATATTAATCTATGTAAGTTAACCAAAACTTTTATTTTTTTTAAAAAAAAATGATACCCTATCATACTTTGTCATAAAATAATATATTATAATAATAATTGATAAAATTTTCTTTCATTCATTCTTTCTTTCGAAAGGAAAAAAAAAAGGAAAATAGATTTATCAAAATTTTCATAATTTGCGAAAAGGGGAATTAAAAAAAAATCAATATTTTTTTAAATAATATTTTAACAAAATTACGCAGTGAAAAACTTCTACAAGAGATTATGGTCCAACTTAAGGAAATTACTTCTAATCACATGATCTGTCAGATTTAACCATTTTTAATATTATCGTGATCCCTAACTCATATCTCTCAAACATTTAATTAACCCTAATCCATATCTTACTTGTTTAACCTTAAATCGTAGTTTCATCCAATTAAAAAATTTCTTCGAGTTGCAGATTCTTAGAGTTGGGTGGGTTTATTAAATTATCGATATTGTCATGGGGAAAAAATTTGAATTTTAAAGTGATCAAGATAAGCGATGGTCACATTAACAGGTTTCACCGATTTTATATACTATTTAAAAAAATGAATATTTCTTTCAAATTATATTAAAATTTTTAAAACCTTAGCTAATTGCTTCTCTCTTTTTTTAAAAAAAATATAAAGTTACTTACTTATTTTTTTTTAAAAAAAACTCAAGAATAAATCAATAAAAAAAAAATTATTTTTTTAATGAATTCTATTTCTTTTTAATTATTTTTTAAATTGAGGGGGAGAGATATTTATAAAAATTTAAAGGGATTTATTTTTTTAAATATAAAATATTTTATCTGACAAATATATAAGATAAAAGTCAAACCAATCATATTTTATTTTTTTTCTTCTATCCTCTTTAAGTTTTCTCAAGAGATTTATTTTAAAACAATTTGAAAAAAAAAGGTATGGGGTCATCCAAGGAAGGAATGGATGCTCAGGTAATTAAAACGATGAATATTTTCAATGCAATGACGGGTAGCTTCAGCCAACACAAGAAGATGGCGCTAATGTGTTTAGAGATTTAGACATGATAAAGATTTCTAAGTTGTTCCGAGCAACGCGTAAATCAAGCTGGGCATTGCCTCCAGCCATTTATTGCCAGTTTTCGTTTTAAAAATTATTAAGTTGAGAATGACCTCAAAATGACCTTTCATGAGGAGGCAATCAAGTGGAATTGGCAACAAGTGAAACCAGTCTTTTTGTGTATGGCGGTTGGTATATGAAATGGTGAACAAATCCACTGACCCCCAATAATATGTTAATAATTTGTAATTGAATTTTTTTTTTAAAAAAAGTCAAGTGGTTACACCCTTGTAACCTTGGTGATAGAAGCCAAAATTTTCCTGTTACAGAAATCAAATTATGGGGAGTAGCCATAAAAATTTTGAAAAGGGTAACTTTTATTAAGATGGTTAGTGTTAATATAGGATGACGATTAGACAGTAAGATTTGCATCACATCGATGTTTACAATGATCCGGTTAGCTCATTGAGGGTTAAGGATCATTTCTGGCTGTTGGGCACTAATAGATTAACGTCGGAGGCATTGGCTAGATATCGATATTATCTAATTAGAATTGTCTGCTAAGGTTCGAAAAATTATAATAGTTATTGGAAAAAAAGACCTTTAATTGATTATAAATTTTTATATAAATAAAATCAATATTGCTCATATTAGTTGTATGTATATCACGAATATTTTCATTTTCAATTAAAAATAGTTCGTATTGTTATCTATCTATTTTATCTATCCATCAAATATAATCACTAAATTTGATTTTCATTTCAAAATAACTAAGCTGGTAGAGTGATCTCTTATCTAGAAAAATTAGAAGAGAAATGGGAGCTCAACAAATTTGATGATAAAATTTTAAAAAATTAAAGCAAATTATTATTTAATTTTTATAAAAGAATAATGATGGCTATATGACCTTCAAAAAAATATAAACTTTGTATTTATCATTATTTAAAATAATTAAATAATAACAATATAAAAAGCAAAACAAATTCATTTTTAATTTATATATTTTTTTCTTCTTTAAAAGTGTTTTTTTATTTGATAAAAATAATTTGCCAAAAATTGATATTTGAAAAAAAAAATTAAATATTAATATAGGTGAGTGAGACTTTTGATCAGGGTTGGCAAGTATGTCAATTTACCAGTCAAATTCAGTCAATTAACCGGAAGAGTATTTGACCTGTCAAATACGGTCAAATACTCTAAAAAATTTAAAGAAAAAATGAATTAAAAATATGTTTAAAAAAGGGAAAAACTATCTAAATACATGGTGATCACAATGTTTACTTATTTGGGTCCACAATATCAAGAGAAGAACTCACTAGCAGTGAAATTAATGAAGTATGTGATATAATTCAAGAATTAGATATTTTACAAGGTAGTGATGACCAAAATATTTAAAGTGATATAATTAATTTCAGAAGCTGTGGAAATTAGTAATTTCCAGAAACAATCAATTCCGACCTCAAGTTAATAGATTAAACTTTGTCTACCCTGCCCAGAGACTAAGAATTCCTAGTTCTGCTTCTTCTTTAAAAAGAAATAGGTCGATTTGGGTTAATATTCTTATGAAAATAGAAATCGATTGAAGATCTAAGGCATCAGGAAAATTGATTAAAAAATATTATAGAAAATGTTAATTTAATATGAATCAGAACAAGACTCTGCTAAATATAGCTACACGTTAGTTAATGAATGACAATGAATTTAAAAAATTAATATTATAGATTCA